CGGAGCCGCACCCGAGGGAGATGCAGAACAGGTTGTATCACAACCGGTGCGCATCAGCTCTGCATCGCCGTGCACTGCACGGTGTAGCACTGCCCAGGCGCGGCGAGACCAGTGACCGTCATCCTGCTCGGTGTTCAGGAGGAGGTGACCCGCTTGGCAGGCAGCACCGCTGCGCAGTGTACTCTTCCGTACTCTGCACCGTGCAAGCGCCAGTCATGTGCTTACCAGACTCTCGGTTTCGCGTTCTCATCATGGCATCAAATTTGACGGTGAAATCAGCCCCCAGCCTGAGTCCAGGATAGGTTGCTTGCAATGCAACAGTTGCAACAAGTAATCGATGAACGGAAACTTTTTACAGTAGCAAGGAACCGACAGCAAACTGGTGCACGGGTCGGTGCAAATCCTGTGCAACGGGTTTGCGGACATGATCGTGTCGCATTCGTAGTGAACTGTTGAAGTCATTATCCGCGATGACAGCCTACCCCGGGACTTGGACCGAGTCCTGCTGTCGAAAATACCACAGTGTTCAAAATCGCCGGCGATTGAATCGGTCTGGACAGCAGGCTGGTCGCCACACGGTTGCCACGTTTCTTTTTTTGAAGTGTACGGAGCCTGGGCCTTAGCCTTTTGAGAGGGAAACATGGGAACATGAATGTACCTGGCCATCCTTTAGCTCCGTTAGGTCGGGAGAGGAACGGTTTCCGGTGTGCCTTGTTGTCGGCTCCGGTTAGAAGTCCGGTTGGGGAGCTTCGTCACGTGTGGCCACCGTGTGGAACGAGGAGCCTGGCAAGGATTTCCCCCGTTTATTCGCACAGAATCCACCTGAAATTGTCGAAAGGGTCCAGTACCATCCGGGAAAACCCCCACAAGCCGCGGATTTCGCAAAATAATAGCGAATTCTGGCTGAGTCACCCCAGAAATTGGCAGCACTTGGCTGCAAGTTGGCAAAAACCACTCGAATCCACGAGAAGCGAACTCGAGGTCTGTTGGGGGGGTATGAGGCCCAGAATACCCAAAACCATCCAAAAAACACGAAAATCCACACAAAAACGGTGTTTAGCGTGTTTTGGGTGGTCTTTTTTTCGATCAAAAAATTTGCACATTTAGCCACAATTTAGCCACAACATTGTGGCTAAAGTTGTGGCCCAATGGGCCACAATGTGGCAAGTTGTGGCTAACCAGCCCTGGCCACTGTGAGGCAGGTCCTCCGGCGGGCCCGCGACCGATGTTACTCGCGGGCCGTCTCTGCGCTTTCCGCGGCGCAGACTGCTCCGGCGGACGACGCCACGCTGGCGGCCCTTATGGAACTGCACCCCCCAGCCCCCGAGCTGCCTGACGACCGCAGCCTGCGGCCCGTGGCCGTTGCGAGACCTTCCCCGGGCGTCATCCGCCGGGTGCTGAAGAAGATGCCGAAAGGCACCGCCGCCGGCCCGTCCGGCCTGTCTGCGCAGCACCTCCTCGACCTGTGGGACGTTTCCGGGTCGTTTAAAGAGGCAGTGGCAGACGCGGTCTGGGCCCTCTCTTCCGGTAGAGTGGCTGCAGCCGCCCGGCCGTACCTGTTCGGGGCGAGGCTCGTCCCGTTGGTTAAGAAGTCCGGCGGCATCAGGCCCATTGCATGTGGGGAGATTCTGCGCCGGGTGGCCGGCAAGGTCCTCGCATCCGACCGGGCAATCAAGGACCTGGGGGCGAACGTCCTCCTGCGGAGTGGGCAAGTCGGCGTCAGTGTCAAGGCGGGGGCCGACGCAGGCGTGCACGCCATTCGCAGGGTCGCGGCCCTGTACCGCGACAGAGACGTGACGGACCGGGGGATACTGCAGATCGACTTCGCGAACGCCTTCAACATGCTTCGGCGGGAAGCGATCATCCGCAGTGTCAACCGTCACGCCCCCCAGCTGTTGGGGTACGCATTGGCAGCGTACGAGAAACACTCCGCGCTAGTGGTGGGCGACCGGGGGATCTCCTCCGAGTGCGGAGTCCAACAAAGAGACCCCTTGGGACCGCTGCTTTTCAGCCTCGCCTTGCACGATGTCGTTGTTCCGCCGAGCCCCGAGGAACAGCCGCCCTTCCCCGCGGCCCTCGCTTCGTCGCAGGCGCCCGCCGATTCTGCCCTCGCGACGCCCGCACGGGACTCCGGTCAGCCGGAGCCTCCCGACGCCATCGGGGGGCAGCCCACCCCTTCAGTGCCGGCACAGGCCCCAGGCTCGGGGAACCCAGGTCCTCGGCAACCCGGGGCGCCCCTGAGGGGGCGCTGGGCCAGGCGGAGCTTGACCTCCTGACGTTCTTCCTCGACGACGGGGCGGCCGGGGGGGAGCTCGACTCCCTCGGCCGCTGGCTGCGGGGGGCCAAAACCCATTACAGTATGTTATCCAAACTTTGAACGAATTACAGTATGGTCCGAACTTTGAACCCATTACGGTATGTCAATCCAAACTTTGAACCCATTACGGTATGGATTTTCAAACTTTGAACGAATTACGGTAGGTTCCAAACTTTGAAACCCATTACGGTATGGTCCCAAACTTTGAACCCATTACGGTATGGTTTTCAAACTTTGAACCCATTACGGTATGGTTTTCAAACTTTGAACCCATTACGGTGAGGTTCCAAATTTGAACCAATTCCGGCATGATTTCTAAACTTTGACTCTCAAGTTTGAGCATTTCGGTGTCACTGTCAGGTTATAAGCCCAACACCAACGAGATACGTAGAAGCGGACGTGGAGAGAGATCATAGATGTGAAGTTGGCGTCGATGGATCCAGTTTGTGTCTTTTGGCACATGCTCGAGGTTGGCTGCTTGCTTTGGACCTCTCGATTTCTGAAGGACCTCGCACAGATGCATCCCCAGGGGAAGTGCTCGGGTTTGAAGAAGAGTCGGTGCATGGCAACCACCATTGCGGCGCACTCGCCCCCGATCCGCCCACCCCGGGGTCCGGTCCAATGCCTTCCTTCCCTGTCCAGCAGGTCGGACGGCGGTCCGGGCCCTCCGTCACTCGTCATCAGACTTCATGGGAGGAGGTCCCGACGAGTCCACTTCCGATTCGGCTTGTCCGATTCACGCTCGAGTCGACCCTGTGGCTGAAACGCCGCTGCTACTTCCGGATCCAGTGACGGCCTGCCGCTCGCGGAGTCAGAGTCGCGGACTCAGACCGACTGCGAAGTATCAAATGCTGCTCGAAAACTGCTCCCTCTGTACGGGGGCAGAATCCCACGGTTGATTAGCATGGAAAAACAGTTGTGTTCGAAGACCACGTTCTGCCGCGAACCTGCATTTTGAGCTTGACGCTTTGAATACAACGGGCGCTCGTTGTATTTAGCCCCCCCCCTGTAATGGGCCGTCGGTGGTTATTCCTCTCCTACGCTGTCGGTAGGGATCCTGCTTTCGCAACAGGGAGAAGAGTACTCCACTGAGCTTCCGAGGTCGCCGTACTACAGTAGGGGCAGTGCCTGCCAACTTTCACTGCTGATCATGAAGTTTACCCTTCCTCCTCCTCATCTCTCTCTTTTTGCCTTCCTGTTGACGCAAGTGATGGACAGAATCATCTGCGAATGGCGCGAACGTTCCAAAGCTTCCCAAAATGCGTCCACAATGATCAGGTTTACCTTTCGTTTCTGATTGTGAACTTTGTTCTTAAATTTGTCGCAACGGTGCGGCTAAGTGGCAAGCAGCTCGATGAGCATGACTCTTCTTCCGGTCCAATCACAATCCGGACGTGGCCGTAGGTTTCAGTGCCTGCTGATCACGAGGTTTGCTACAGCTGTAGCAACAGCACACAGCCGCTCGGCCAGCATGAGCCGTAGTGACGGTAGTCTAACGCCGCATCTTTGCGTTGAACGTGGGTTTCGGAGGTCGCCGAATTGGAGATGAAAGTGAATCTGTTGCTACTGCGGTGCAGAAGGATGATGACTTAGGATCGGCCTACTGAAGACATGGTAGCTGCAACCATCACCCGTCCGCCTTGGAGTCTGACTGATCGACCACTGACGTGGCACTGTAGAGTCACCACAGAAGATGAATTTGTCGCCCAATTACACTGCGTTGTTAACAACTTGCAGACCTCGACTGACAACGGTACCGAAATTGGGCTCAAATTTTACACTTACCGGAATTCGTTCAAAGTTTGAAAACCATACCGTAATGGGTTCAAAGTTTGGCACCATACCGTAATGGGTTCAAAGTTTGGATAACATACTGTAATGGGTTTTGGCCCGGCTGCGGGACTTCGAGGACAGAGCAACAGCGGTCGGGCTCAGCCTGAACCGGGGAAAATGCAGGCTGTCCGTCGGCCCCGGCGCCACAATCCCCGAGGCCCTGCAAGGCATCGAGACTTGTCCGCTGGACGAGATTCAGCACCTTGGCGTCCCCTGCGGTTCCCCCGAGAAGATGCGCGTCTTCGTCGAAGAAGCGGCCAAAGGCGCCGAGAGGAAGATGCGGATGATCGCCTCCCTCCCGGATGCGCATGTGGCGTTGACACTGCTGAAGTTCTGCGCCGGCTTCGTCAGCGTCGTTCACCTCATGGCACCTGAGTCACCAGCCGCCAGCTTCTGATTATTTTCAGACGACTGGCACTTTTTCTTTGCAGCTTCTACTGTAAGAGTAGCATCACTCAAATCTTGATTGGCTGCGGCGTTACTTACCGCTCTGAGTCACTCCCGCTCCTCCTCTGGAGTCATTCGTGACGTCGCGCCCGTCGCTGGTTACTACTCGTGGTAAAACAGTGGCTCTGATTCTGAAGAGGTTTCGGCACAGAATTAGGAAGCGCTACAAGTAGAACGGGCTGGTCACTCGCGCATACCTGAATTATGCACGAATCTGTGTTTAGAAACCGTTTACCCGTAGTCTGCGCCGGCGCAGGAGCCACACTGTCTGCGGTGTCAATGACCCAGTGCGCAACCAGGATACCGAGCCGGGACGCAGCAGCCAACCACAATGCTGGCACCTTGTTCGAGGAACGGATCCGACGGAAATCGGAATCGGAAATTCCGGAGGGAATGAGAAAAACGCAGACGGCAGGATTTGAACCTGCGCGGGCAGGGCCCAATGCATTTCGAGTGCAACCCCGTAACCACTTGGGTACGTCTGCTGATATTCTCAAAAAAAAAAGAAATTCTCTTTTTTTTTTTGCAAGAGGCACCACATTCTTTTGGCAGCTCCGGAGAGCCGCGTTCCAGTTTTCGGGCAGGCTTTACGGGCCTCTTCGGGCCGGAAGGCATGCCAGAGAGACACAAGACACATGCAAGAGAGATGGGGATGGGCTATGGTACAGGGGGGTTAACAGTACGTGGGTGTCCAGTATCTGAGCCTTTCACACAAACCAGCCAGGTGGCGGTTGAGTGAGGCCAGGTGGAAGACCCGGGAGACCTCTGGCTTCTTTCTTTCTTTCTCTGCCACTGGAACTCGGAGGGGGGGAGAGTGTTGGAATGTGGGAAGCATGGTGGAATGAAAGGATGGTGTGGTGTGGCGGAGCAGCACTGTGCACCCACAACTTTCCCACAATGTGGGCAGAATAGCCACAACATTTACCCACAAAGTATTGTGGCTATTGTGGCTAGAATCTTTTTTATTGTGGCCCCGTGGAACTGGTCCAGAAAACAGCGTTTTCTGGACACCAACACAACACAATTATACATACGTTTTTCGATGATGTATCGTGTTGTTCTCGTGTCCCCACCTGTGTTTGGACTATCTGGTATGTCTCTGTGTGCTTGTCAGCCTGGGGCCACCCTGACTGGGGTACTGGCGGCATCCTCCTGGGGTGCTGTGCTTACTGTAGAAAAGTTGGTGAGGGAACTGAAGAACATTTTTTTGGGCTTTCTTGGCGAATTCAGATCGAGAACAGAGAGGAATTAGAGTGAAGTTCGGAGCTTCACCAGAAGTAAGGGGAACAGAGCTGATACATTCGAGGTGGTAAGCACCACCCCTCACCCCTGCCAGGGCACTGGCAAGCAGCAGTCTGGCGGAGGAGAGGTACTTCACTGAGTTTATGCAAGAGATATTCATAATGAGAACAGGGGGATTTTGGATGGGTGTGATTGCCAGTAATTATGACTCAGTAAAGAGCCCGGGCAACATTGTTAGGCGGTGATACATCATTGGAAGAAGATGTCTGACTCTGGGGTGGACTGGCATTTGTACCCTGCGGGCTGAGTGAGAACCACGGGGCAATGCAACTCTTTTGCTCTTCGGACAGCCGCATGGCAAGGCGTGTGAACATTCTTTTTTCTGTGGCTGCCTTCTTCTCAGATTCGGGTGCAAAGTGGTCGGCAGCAAGCTTCGGATAGTTAATCGCGATGATCGCCAAAGAAGATGCTTTTTGCGACTTTAAGGATGCGCGGTGCTTCGTTAACTGCCGCGAGAGGACCTTGAAGTTCCGTTCTACCGCAGCCTCGGTTGTTGTGCAGTTGGCAAGTGCAATGGCAAAGGAACTCAACACGGGGAAGTCAAGGCGGCGTGTGTGGGTGCTCCAGTATTTGAGGAACGAGCCTGCGCAAGCAGGAACAACCCCGTGGTTCCAGAACGTTGTAAGTTCGGTGGTTACCTGGCTCTCGCGATCTTTGAAGGTCCCAAGGGACTTCTTCTTCCGGTCGGCATAGGGAACAACGTGCTTGAGCACTTCATCCAAAGAATTTCTGTGGTGTCGCCGGGACCAATCCCCGTGGTTTTCCTTTGGGTTCAGGGTGCTGAAAAGAGAGGTGGCAGCAGATGTGAAGTGACGCTCCTTCCTGGTCTCCCAGATTTCCGAAGCTTCCTTCGCTCGAAGGTTTCCTTTTCGCATCTTTGCAGCATGCTGGTCCAGGAAGGCGAGCACCCCAAGAAGTCCCTCCAAAGTCATTCGGTCCGATTGGACAACATCTGTGGCAATGGCAAATGGGGCACAGATGTCGATCAACTGGTTAAGGTCGGACCAGTATCGTTCCCAGTTGGTGCCGTCTCCCGACACAGTTTCGATGTGGGCACTGAGCTCTTTCTGGCGAAGCATGGCATCGTACATACTGTTCCATCTCACAGTGGTGAAGCAACGAAGTCCTTTGATCTGAGTGTTAGGAACCTGAGCTTCTGCCTGGGCTGCCTTCAGTTGTTCTGCCCCCTCCTTGTGCACGTACTTTTCGTTTTCGACAAGGAATCTTTTCTTGAACGCTGAGAAGCGGTCGATGTCGAAGATGTCCTTGAGGACAAGCTGGAGGCTGTGGGCCCCACACCGAAAGACGAGGAGCCCACGATAAGCAAGGTGCTCTCTTGTCGCATTCAGCGCATCCTCGGCAGGCATCCCGTCTGCGTCTTGCTCTGCTTCCGACTCGTCCGATTCACTTTCGTCCCCCAGCTGGTCCAGTGCGCTCTGCATCGCCGCTGCGTTGTCCGCCACAGCACCAACAACGGTGATCCCCCCTTCGGTGAGTGTATCCAGAATCTTGTCCAGGCATCCAGCGATAGCTGCAGCAGTCATTGAACACTTCACCTCTATATCACCGTAGTGATACACTGTGTTTCCACAGGCGAGGGACACACCAAGAAATGTTCTGCGGCATTTCGTTGCCGCATCCACGAGGAGGCAGACATCTTCCCCGGCAAGTGAGGCGAAGAGCTCTGTCATGAGCTTCTCTGCAAGCAGCGCTGTCTTCTGGCTGAGTTCGCGTCTCGTCATGATGACATCTGCCTTGAGCAGAGAACGAAAGTCCGGCGACTCAATGATGTGGAACGGGAGGTGGTGCTTGGCAAACGTGAAGACAACATGCTCATCCAGTGGCAACCCCCGCACTGTTGGCGAAACAGCAATGCGACGCTGCTTCGCGGTGCTCGCCTTCTCGTTTGCTGCTGCTTCCGCTTTTCTCTTTCTCTCTTCAGCCCTCTCCCGGATGCCTCGCTTTGCTGCCTCAATCGCCTCGTGGTTGTGGTACGTATCGTAGTGGCGTTTTGGTGTTCCCTTCTCGTTGCGCATCTTTGGCATGTGTGTGCACCCTTCCAAACGACACATGGCTAGCCCGTCTTCGAGAACCTGAAAGTAGACATGGAAGTCCCATGTCTTGCTTGATGCACTAGTGTAACGCGGATCGTCTGGTCGTGCAAGTCCGTCTTGTGTGAGGTTCCCGAGCACTGTGCCTGCAGGAAACCCCTTTGGACCAAAGTTTGGTGCTGGATCTGCGGCAGGTGAAGGCTGGTCGGCAGGGATGTTTTCAGCAGTGATGGGTTGCTCAGCAACTTGCTGTGCCAAAGGTTCTGAAGTTGCACCACCGCTGGCCTGTGTTGTGCCGCTGTTTGTGGCCTGGGGCGCATCAGCCTGCTGTGCACCACTGCTCGAGGGCTGAAGGAGCTTCTTCAACACCCAGCTGTTGCCACACTTCGAGCACAGGTCGAAGTCACAGGCCTTGCATCCGATACGTTGGCGCCGATTGCGGGTGCCGTTTTTGTACCCACAAACGTCGCATTCGAAGCCTCCGACATCTTTCGCCGCCCTCTTGTAGCTAACATCCAGCATCTCCATTCTTGTCTTGCAGTTAATGCAGCAGCATTGTGCGCTTGCCATTTTGCTTGGTGTTACAACCTGGTGTATGAGTGGGGTAAGGCATATCATACATAATAATCGATTATAGTCAGTGGCCCACACCTCGTTCAGGACCTGGCTCAAGCAGGACGTGGCTCAAACACACGATACGTCATCGAAAAACGTGGGATAAACATGTCTTTGTCCTGGAAATGCTGTTTTCTGGACCATCTTCACTGAACCACAATGAAAAAGATTCTAGCCACAATAGCCACAATACTTTGTGGGTAAGTGTTGTGGCTATTCTGCCCACATTGTGGGAAAGTTGTGGGTGCACAGTGCTGGGCGGAGCACACGGCATAGCTGTCAGCCACAAGGTAGCCACTAGTGGCTAATTGGGAGCCACAAAGTAGCCACAAACCTTGTGGCTACCTTTGGGGGTAAACACCATTCTCACACTTTTTCAACAATTCTTACCATTCTCACACGGTTGCAACAAATGCTACCATTCTCACACAGTCGCAACAAATGCTACCATTCTCACACAGTCGCAACAAATGCTACCATTCTCACACAGTCCAAACAATTTTTTACCATTCTCACACAGTCGCGTGTACAGTACACACAAATGATTGGAAAGCTACAGGGGCAGCAGCCAGACCCGTATAGATCTGGCAGGTGAGCAGCGCCACCTCCCCTTCAACTTGGACCCGAACCCGAACCCGACGAAAAAATTGGACCCAGAACTTGTTCCAAAACTTGGACCAAAACTTGTACCAAACTGAACCAAGATATGGCCAAAACGTGGACCAAACGTTGGACCAGATTTCTGGACCGTTGTACCAGGATTCTGGACCGAAATGGGCTCAGAGTTTTGGACCAGTGGACATGACTGATCTAACTGACTGGACGAATGGCACCAAAATGGGCTCAAAGTTTAGGAATCTTGCCGGAATAGGTTCAAAAGCGGAAACCTCACCCGGACTCCGGGCCGGAGTCACCGTAATGGGGTCAAAGCTTGGAAAGTTTGGGGAAATTTGTAGTTTTTGCACGTGTGAAATTTTTTTGTGTCGATAATACACGTCACTTTTTTTTTTTTACCGAAAATACACGTGTCAATTTTTATTGGACCGATAATACACGTGTCAATTTCTGGTGTGACAAACGTGTACACTTGGATGGTGCGTTGATTTATGGTGAGTTCTCTACATGTAATATTGGGACCATGATGTGGCACCGCTCACTGAGAGCACTTTCGATAGCGACGGCACACACTGATCGTGACACAGCACCTCCGCGTCCGCAAAACGCGAACAGTCAAACCCGACTGGCTTCGCGCGGGGAAAAACGGAGTACAAGTGCAAGACTTGCCTCGACTTCGGTCACCAAGTCAGAACATGCAAAAAGCCAGCGAAGGCTGGTAGCAGGAAGGCAGCACTCAAACCAGCCCCAAAGGGCCAGGTAGCAGCGGTCAACCCTCCCCCCACAATCGAGCCCGACTCAGACTCATAGTCAGAGCCAGATTCGAAGTCCGGATCAGACTCCGGGCCTGAGTCAGACTCCGAGTCCGAGAACGCAGTTGCTCCTTTCATCCTCCCTGGCCC